TTCATTTTATTTAATTTTGATTAATTGAAATCTAAATTGCCACATGTGGCTAGTGGCTACATCAGATAGCACAGCTATCCAGCAGTAAAAATAAATGAATTAGAGCTATATACATGTGTCAACATAGATAAATCTCAAAAGCATTATGTTGGACAAAAAAAAGAAAGTTTCAGACATGGAGTAGAGAGTGGGAATGGAATCAATGGAATTGTAATAGATAAGCATGATATTGGGGGTGGGAGGGCAATACATGGGGAAGGGGGGTTGTTACTTTGTGAGGGTGAAAAGGGTAACTATTGCATTGTTCTGTACACCTGAAACTAACAATTAAAAAAAAAAAGTTTCAGAAGGTAGGGCAGGTACTAGAGTGAAGCAAGTGAGGTGACTAGGGTGAAATTTTTAAGGGGTACTCACCCTCAGGGTCATGCAAGTACAAATTGGACACTTGAGCGACCCTGGGAGTGACCACCTCCTTAAATTTTGTGCCCTATGTGCTTTCCTTGCCTTACCCTAGTTCCAGCACTGTCAGGATATATCCAGTATAATACTGTGTCAGGGTTCCCCAAGATCACCCCCAGGTTCAATGATTCCATAGGGAGACTCACAGGATTTAGCATATAGTTGTATGCATGGCTATGATTTCTTACAATGAGAGGATACAAAGCAAAATCAACCAAAGGAAAAGGCACATGGGGCCTAAAGTCTGGAGGAAACCAGGCACAAGCGTCCAAGAGTCCTTTCCTAGTGGTGTCACGTGGGACGTGCTTAGTTTCTGCAGTAGAGCTGTGATAACTCATATGAAATGTTGTCTACCAGGGAAGCTTATTAGAGACTCAGTGCTAAGGTACTTATTGGGGGCTGGTCAAATACCAAAATTCCAGACTCCAGAAAGAGGCAGGTGTTCAACATAAACCACGCTCCACAAATAGTTTAAGCACCACAAGCCACTCATCATTTAGGAACTGGTGGCAACCCTTCTAAAATCCAAGTTCCTAGACATCAGCCAAGGGCCAACCTTGCCAATAGGTCTTTCTAAGAATAGCAGTCTCAAGCCTGTTAACTCTTGTTTTGCATAGGTATCATTTATATAAAATTGTAGAACATTACATATAATACTATATATTGCTTAAAGACACATGCATATAAAGACGTACAACATGCACAGAAAGGAGCCTCCCGAGTGGCTCAGTTGGTTAAGAGTTGGCTTAAAAGCGCGAGCTCTGAGCAACAGGGCCGCTGGTTTGATCCCCACATGGGCCAGTGACACTGCACCCAAGCTGAGCTGTCGCTGAGCTGCCAACAGGTGGCAGATGGCTCAGCTAGTGTAACAACAAGATTGCCTGTTCCATGGTGGGCTACGCCCACCCTCAACTAAGACTGAACTCAGCACCTTGAGCTTAGAGGCCACGAGCTGCCGACAGGAAGCCAGATGGCGACTGGCGCCCTCCACAACTAAGATTGAAGAACAACAACTTGGTTGGTCCCCTTCCCCAATTCCCCAACATTGTTCCCCTCCCCCAATTCCCCAATAAAATCTTTAAAAAAAAAATGCACAGAAAAATAAACACCAAATCCAGGGTTGTAGTAACACTGGAGGAAAAGAAGAGAGGAGCAGGTTTGAGGCAGTGGCCTTTCAAATACACCACTGTTTTACTTCTTAAGCTGGGTAATGAGTAAATGTGTTTTATCATAGTATTTCTTATAGTTTTTCAAGCGTGTGCACCTTAAATATTACATAAGAAGAATAAAGACTTATCTGTTTATTATTATATACTACTAACAGTTCAGGTTTATTGAGTGCTTTTCACATTTCAGGTACTATGCTAAGCCATTTATATGGATTTATTCTTTTATAAAAATCTACAGAAGACTTTCTATGTGCGAGGCCCTGTGCTAACCTCTAGAAATACACTGAGAGGTCAATATGAGGCAGGTGAGATCTCTACCTTCAACCTGCTTTCAGTCTACTGAAGGATGATGAGAGATAATAAGCACAACTTAAAACCAACATAAGTACAGATTCTGAATGCTACTAAGATAAAGCAGGGTGATGTGATTAAGGAAGGACTACTTTAACTAGGGTGGTCCAGGAAGGCTTAACATTTGAGTTGAACCATGAATGATCTGAATGAGACAACCATGCAATTATTTGAAGGAAGCAGATTCCAGACAGAGGGAACAGCAAGTGCAAAGCCCTACAGCAGGAATAAGCTTGGTTTGTTGAAAGACAGGAAATAAAGCCAGCCAGGCTGGAGAGTGGTGACAAGAGAGAGACTGGTAGATGAGGCCTGAGAGGTCAGCTGAGGCCACCATGCAGGGCCTCCTAAGCCACAGTAAAGATCTTAGGTTTCATTTTAAGTATGTTAAGCCTTTTGAAGGTTTTAAGTAGGGTAATAACATGATCTGGTTTACAATTGAAGATTATTCAGCCAGCTGAACAGATAACGCATTACAGACAGGGCCATTTTTTTTCATTGGCATCATAGACATAATGCTTGTGGCTGATTAGCTTTTCAGAAGCGATGAAAAGGTTGGGGCTAGGGATAAAGGGAAAAAAAGTTCCACAATGTAAAAAGAAAACTACAAAGTTGGAATGAATAACTGTTTAATTAAATATCTAGAAAAATGTAACATTATGGCAACTTCATTCATCATTAAATTTAGTACTCATAAACAATTGAATTACATTTGGAAATAACCTGAAAATTAGATTTTCTAGAGTAACAAAAATTTGCAAGTATACCCAATGATTGCCAAGAAATCACAGCCATTACAAATGTGAACTTTCTTGTAACCAAATAGTTTCAGGGGGGGTGGTCTCAATATTTTTAAATGCAAAAAAAAGTTTTCTTTTTACTTAATGTGAGATGTAGATATAAAAACATACCTAGCATTATGAGGTTGCAGGATTCTAGGGAGGCCACAGAGGTTGCTAGATAAGAAATGCTAGTGGCTTGAACCAATGCTCTTCAGGCTTACACTCTTGTGAGTTTTAATACTGTCCAGGGGACCCCTGGTAAGGCTTCTCTGAGAAGACATTTGAACAGAGAGACGTAAATGACAAGAAGGCACCAGCCACGCCAAGAACTGGGAGAACAGATTTTAGGTAGAGGCTCTGCACTGGGAATGTTGTGTCAGATTTTTAAGGAACAAAGAGCAGGGTCAGTTTGGCTGGGCTGAAGTTGGGGCTGGTGGGTAGTGGGAAACAAAGCATGTAGTCTTAAAGACAATACAGTAGTGCCCCCTTACCAGAGAATACATCCCAAGACCTATCCCCCGTGGATGCCTGAAAATATAGATAGTACCAACCCCTATATATACTGTATTCTCCTATACATACATATCTATGATAAAGTTCAATTTATAAATTAGGCACAGTCAGAGATTTACAACAACTAATAATAAAATAGTATTATAACAATATACTGTAATAAAAGTTATGTCAATGTGGGGTCTCTAAGATATGCTGGACAAAGGAATGATTCACCTCCTCGACAGCATGGGCTGGTGCAAGATTTCATCTTTCTTCACAATAATCAGAATGGTGCTCAATTTAAAACTTATGGATTGTTTATTTCTAGAATTTTCCATTTACTATTCCATTTACTATTTCAAACCAAGGTTGGCCATGGGTAACTGAAACCATGGAAAGTGAAGTCAGGGATGGGTGGGATGGGGGCTATAGTATCCTGAGAACGATAGAAAACCACTCACATTATATGCAGAAGGATGACTGATCCAATTTTAGACCTGCACTGTCCAATACTACAGTAGCCACTTGCCACAGGGGCTCATGAGCACCTGAAAATAGTGCCACTGTGAAAAAGAACTTTCCATGTCACTTAATTTTAATCAATTAACATTTCAATTAAAAAATCTGTATGTGATAGAGGTCATGGAAAACTTTTAAGTATGTTGGGAACAGTTTGGACATGCGAATCTACATTTTCAACTGTATGTTTTATAAAACTTAAAAGCCAGACCAGCTCTTTCTAATGAAAACATAGCTGTACTCATAAGTGTAAAACACCCACGATTTCGCAGCCTTACTACCGAGTAAAAAATGTAAGCTATCTCATTATTTTATACCCATCACCTGTTGAAATAATATTTTGGTTATATTGGATTAAATGCAACACATTACGGTTAATTTCATCTTTTTTAAAAAAACTTTTTAACGCGGTTACTAGAAAAAGAATGTAAATTAGGTATGTGGCTTGAAAGATTTTTCCACTAGCTATGGCTGGTAGTAGAGAGTGGGTGCAGAGGTGCCTGGAGTCTTCTTGGCAGGGGGCAACCAACCGTGGTCCAGTACAGGCATGTGGGTGGAGAGAAGTGATGTACTCATGCGTCATGTCAGTGAACTTTCACGGCCTCGTTCAATGAGCAGGAAAACTGTGGCCTCGGGAGCTAAGTGGCAGAGGCCGGACTCGAACTCCCAGTTACAGCGTTGTTCACCTGACACCTCCCAAAGGCCCTCCAGGGGGCGAGAGCGGGATTCGAACCAAGCCCAACTCCCAGGTCCGGGCCCCAGCGCCGCGTTACCACCGCTCCATCTCCCCTCAGGAGTGAGTGAAACGTTCACAACGTTCACAACGAACTCCCCGGCCGCTGGGCCTGAGGGGGCCAGGAGGCCCTCAGAGAAGCTCCAGGTAACGCTCACCTGCTCACAGAAGCCAAAGCCGCAAACGCTCCGCCTTTCTCTTCGCACTGCTTAGCCGCACCAGCAGCTTACTTCCGCTCCTCTTCCACGAATCCCCTGCCGAGTCCTCCTCTCCTCTCGCCCCCTGAGGCTAACCCAGCCAATCACCTCTCACAGAAGCTATTCCCCCGCCCCTTTCCCACCTGCCAATCACCGCTGGCTCGAGCACCACCCTTCCCGCTCTCTTAAGCTAGCGCCGCGCGCCACCGCTCGACAGTTGGCGGCGCTGCTCCCGGATTGTAGCGTCTCCCGGAAGGGAGAGGCGAAGGGCGGGTCACACCGGTGCGGGAACCCTCGGGATTGGCCGAGAGGAACCCCGGCTCTGACTCCGCCCACCCCGCTCTTGCTGTCCCAGTCGGAAAGGCTGGGGATTGGTTCCCGGCGGACAACCAAAGAAGCCAAGAGATGGTCTCACCTCCCTCGCGCAGCCCGGAGAGGGAGCTCAGGGGATTGGCCCGGGGAGTCTCGGCGCGCGCCGCCCGGCGCTCCAGAATTGGTTAAGGGGGTGCTCGCGCCGCCGGGGATCGTTGACGGTGATTGGCCGGAGGGTGCGGCCGGCTATTTGAAGGAGGCGCGCGGGCGAGATACGCAGTTCAGCGGGCAGACCGAGGAGGCGGCGGCCTGTGGGCAGCGCTAACCGGCTGACCCGACAGGACCCAGTCGCTGGCTCCGCCCCAGCCCTGACTTGAGCCGCCGCCTGGCGAGGCGATGGCCAAGGTGTCGGTGCTGAACGTGGCGGTGCTGGAGAATCCGAGCCCTTTCCACAGTCCCTTCCGGTTCGAGATCAGCTTCGAATGCAATGAGGCCCTGGCAGACGGTGAGGCTGAGCCTGTGTGGACCCCCCCCCACCCCCCACCCCGTTCCCTGGGCCAATCCGACCTCCTCGTAGAGGCTCCGGCGGCCAACACCGACCTCCTCCGCGAAATACACCCCCAACCGGATCTCCCCACTTTCCTCCTCGCCAGCTCCAACCTCTGCGTGGAGACTGCCTCCCACCCCCACCTCACGGCCAACCCGACCCCCTCCCCACAGTTACTCCTGTTTCCCCCCAGTGGAGAACTCATCATTTTTCCCTCCCCCCTTTTTTCCTATGGAGCTCCTGGGCTCTGTATGTAGAGACCTTATTAGCCGCCATTCTTTAACTTGCGGAGACCCTCCGCCACCCCATCTTCCCTGTAGCAAGAAACCGCCGACCTTCTATTTCTGTGTACAAAATTCTTCTATTTTCGTTCCACTCACTCAGTCTTCCCCCATCCATCCCCTCTGTAGTGAGACACTCCTGTCTCACCTTTTTCCTATGGAGACTCCAGCCTCTCATTTTTTGTTTATATGGAAACCGTAGCCTCGCATTTCCCCTATGGAAACCTCAGTCCCCTCCCCCATTTTCCTTGTGGAAGCCGTTCCCTCCCTTTTCGCCCAGTGGAGCCCCTCCTATGACCCTTTTTCCTTGCGAAGACCCTCTCTGTGGCAATACCTCATTCACCCCTGTCTCCCCATTGTCTCCCAATAATCCCCTCCCCATTATCTTCCAATAAGCCCCTCCCCAACCTGCTGATATTTAAACCACCCCACTCACTTCGTGTTTTCTACCCCAAAGTATGTAACCTAGAATCTGGCTTCCCCTCTGAGCCTGGCCCCACCACTCTACTCTTGAGCTCCACCTGGGGAGGCATGGCCTGGCTTCTAGCTCCAATCTTTGAGGATGACTTGGTCTCCTCAGCTCCAGTTCCTACCTCCTCCCTGACTATGGGCTTCGAGGAACACTCAAATCTGAAGGGTGGTCTAGCCGGGCATTAGCCAGTTCCCACTGTTTGCCTGCCAGGTTTCAGCTTGACCTACTGCCACAATTCTCCCAGCACTTCTGATGGTCTGACCTAGTCTGGAGGGTAGGTGGGCCAGACTGAGCCATGATGTTATCCTGCTTCAAACAATCAGCTGGGGTATCACAACCTTTGAGGCATCTTTTCCAGAGTGCTTTCACTGATGTACTTATTCATCTGTGTGACATAAAGGTGTACATGGCTCTCATCTCACAGATGAGAAGACAGGAGCCACAAAGAGTGACAGACCTCTTAAGGAAAAGATCTCTAAAAATCCAAAAATCTAAGGTCGCCCAGGAAGTGTTAGCACCACTTTCAGGAGGAAGTACAAGCACAAGCATACCTTGTTTTATTACACTGCACAAATGTTGCATTTTTTACAAATTAAGGGCAAGACCTTCCACCAGCAAAAAGATTACTACTCGTTTTATTGCGGTGGTCTGAAACCCAACCCAGTGTCTTTGAGGTATGCCTGTACTCCATTAGACCACTTCACTTGGTTAAAAAGAGAAGAGGCAGCAGCTGAGGAGTCTGAGGCCAGGGTGTACTAACTAGCGCCTCTTGGTGGTAGGCGGGTGGTTTGCCTGAAAAGCTGGCCGCTGGGATTAGCTTGGGGTTGATACAATTTGAGATTCATGTGCTTGGGCTACACCAATGGCTCAGCCTCCCTGGTTTTTCTCTTTTTAAATTACGGAGTCTACTTGTGGCTAACTATAGAATAAGCCCAGTTAAATCCTTTCTGGAACAAGGCAGAGTGTAAATAAATAAATAAAGTGTAGAATGTCACTGTGGAATAAGATTTAATTTTAAAGCCAGGAGGAGATGTAAGGAGCTAATAGGTTAAGGGATTCACAGTTCCCAGATGGCAGGAGATCAGGTTTCAATCAGCCTGTTTGTGCTTCTTGCATTTTAAAATGGTGATGTGGTCATTTTCTAGTACTTTTATTCCTATAAAGCCCCTGCTCTGTTACTTTACTAACTTGTTTTTAGAATCAGAGTAGGAAAGACCCAAAATCAACCTGCTGGTGATTATTTTTTAATAGAAACAGAATGGTCACATAGCTAGTTGGCAGAATTATTGATACGAGGGCTTGTGCCTGAGTTCTGAGTCCAGGGTTCTTTATCTTTGCTATAACCTGGGAAAGAAAGAATGCATCCTCTGTTTTAGAAGTGAAACATAAATAGAATTGATCATAGAATTTATTTCCATATCAGGACACTCTCAAAGGAGAGCAAAGGGGGTGCTGTTATTAATTACACCCAGACAATAAAGCTTTTGCTCAGAGAAATTTGAGTTGGGAAGCAAACTCTAGCCTGGAAATCCAGACTCTGATTCTTCTTCTTAGGGCTCTCTGTGACACTGACCTGCCAATTTGCTTTCTGCTTCTTCCTGGCCCTCTTCCTACCGAGCAGAAAGAATTCGTTTACTGCCTGCCTCCCAAAACATAGATTGGGCATGACTTTAGAAGTCTCGCAGATCCTGGAGAAATCTTAATCTTATCACCTGGACCCTTAGCAATTGAAGATCTGACAAGACACCCAAACCCCAGTCAGTCAGTGACCTTGTTTCCCAAGGGCTCCAAGGTCCTTTTGCTCTCTTTCTCCTCAGCATCTGGAAATAGATGCTTCCAAAACATTTAACACATTAGGTATGTTTTCCCCCCATTTAGTTGAGAAATTCAACAGACACTGCTTGAATAAGTCATGGGGCCAGATATTCTGACCCACAGCTAACACACTGTGGTCAGGCCAAGGTTCATCTGTATGATTACAAAGACAGTGATAAACAGAAAAAGGCCTACTAGATAAGTTTTGGGGGTTTTTTTAAAGGCAGGAAACAGGTTCTTCAGCTAGTTCAACTACAATAGTATTTTACAGATCTTTTATCATGGCATTGGTTTTGGTTTTGTTTTCATCCATAGTGGAAGAGCATCTTGTGCAGCAGTTAGATTGTAAGGTTAGGGCATAAAAACAAAATGTAATGCAGTTGAGTTACCCTTGAAATTGCCCAGAGGTTAGGTGCATGTGTTACATGTATATAATTGTGTCCTATATTCAGTAGAATGAATTTGTGCTGTATTGGTGACTGATGTCCCATATCTAATTCTAAAGAGGGGTTATATTAAAAAATGAAGTTCCTTTATGCTTCGGCTTAAAACACTTCAACTTTAAGATGATTCCAATTTGTGGGTCCTTTTGTCTTCCATAGATGATGTTATCAGCTCCTGCAGCTCTTGAGTCAATATTTCTCTGTGGTCCTGTTAATTCTCTGGTTTCTTTCCTTTGAGGGAGCCATTGTGGCCCACTTACTTGCCTAGCTGCCCACGCAGTGTTTTCTTTTCCGGTCAGCACCCACACAAGTCTTTGTTTAGGTTTTGCTAACAAGATTGAACATTAGGTGCCTGTGGCATGCCCCTAGCCTGCTCCATTTCAGTCTCTTTTTTATCTCCCCCTCCCCCAGCACATTAGTTAAATGCAGACATATGTGATTGCACTGGTGATGGGGGAGTGGCCAGAAGGAAAGGTACCAAAATCTAGAGCTGGGTAAGAAAGGTGAGAATAGAGTTAGCTGATTTTCTGTTTATCCCAAAACGTTATGTCTAGGTGTATCACTACTCATAACAAAAATCAATAAATTTAATTCTCTGCAAATAATGAGACTAGAGTTTGACTGAACCTCTGTGAGCCCAGGCATTACCATATCCCACAGACCTGCTAGGGTCCCTGAGTAGGGCTGGGTAAAACTGCAAAGGGACAGGAAGTCAGTGTATCGAGGAAGAACTTGGGGCTCGGGTGACTAACCTCTAGTCATGGCCGGGCATCAGTGTATTTCCGAATGTGGATGTTACAGGACAGTGGACCAAGGAACAGGGCGGCTTCCAAGAGCATTTGCTTCCTGCGAAAATCACAGCTTGTGAAACTTCCCCCAGCTGCTGGAGCAGTAGGTTGTGTAATTTCAGAGAACCTAAAATAAGTTTCAGGTCTCCTGCCAAGCTTCCCTGTACTAGCGTGACCTTGCCCCTGATACACTTGGACCCTCCTACAAGAGGCAGCGGTCCCTGGGAATTTCCTGTGATTGATAGGCAGGGTCTTCTTAAGCACTTTTCCTTTCATCTCCCCAGAACATGCTCAGGGATGGGGTCCCCCCTACTGAATGGGATGCAAGAAAGTTGGGGTTCAGAGGATCACCTTGTGAGGCTGCATTTGTTGACTAAGTTGCCATTGCCCCAATAGCCATGAACAGACATGACTTGGTACCAAATCTGGAATTCCTGGGGACAGGCTGGCTCTCCTAGCAGCCTTGTCTTGCCCCTCCTGCCGGCTGGCTCTCCTGCTGGGTTGGAATCTGCTGCCCTGTCCCAGTTGTCGAGGGATCTACTCAGTTCAGTGGCACAGGTCCCTGTGTGTGAAAGAGGATGCTGCTTCCTATCTCAGCACCCAGTGAGCAGGGCCCTGAAATGACCCAACTCCTTGCTGTTCCCTCCGCAGCACGCCTCTGTCACGTGGGTCTTAATTCAGCCTCTGCCATACGGTTCACCCTCAGGCTCTGAGAGGCCCAGAGTTTCCCCAGAGGTGCAGTCAAGGTCGCCTGGCAAAGCTAGGCCCACAGGAGAAATTTCCCACTGGAAGTAAGAACCTCCCGCCCGCCCCAGTGTTCAAGACTACAGTACCTGGCACTTAGTGCCCAGAGGATGTCAGTTATTGTTGAGAGTAAGAATCTTTTGCTATATTAAGGATTTGTCCAAAACGAGTGCAAGAAGACCCTTTCCCTGCCTTCTTGCTGTTGAACTATTTCAATTCCTTAACATCCGTGTCCTTGCAGACCTGGAGTGGAAGATTATTTATGTCGGCTCAGCTGAGAGTGAGGAGTTTGATCAAATCCTAGACTCAGTGCTGGTTGGCCCTGTCCCAGCAGGAAGACACATGTTTGTCTTTCAGGTAAGAAAGGTGAGGCCTTAGGCCTTGACACCTAGAAACATCCTCTTCTACCCAAAAGCACACACCATGGTTCAGTGGTCAAAAGTTCAGGTTCAGATTCTGGCTATGCTCTCAAGAACTGTCTGACCTCTCAAAAGTACTTCAAACCCCTCCCTTTCCTATACCTCTGTGTCATGGCTATTACCATGAGCCACTAATTCATAGGTGATGCTCATTATTCATAGGAGTTTTGTTCTGTAAAGTCACTGCAAACAGTGAATTACTGAATACTGAACCATTGCCCCTATAGGAAATACAGGGTTAGGTTCCTGAGTGTCACATTTTTGTTGATACATAATCTTTTTTTATGTGTATTTAAAATACCTTATTTAGTATTATTGTTGATTTATTAATGTTGAACTCAGAGCCAACAGCATATAACTCGTGCCTGAACGAAGCTTATCTAACACATGTATTTTCTCCATAGGACGCATCACAGCTCCTTGCATTTAGGGACATTAGATAGCACTTAGCACAATGCTTGGGGTCTATTTTTTTTTTTTTAAGTTTTTTTTTTTTTAATTTGGGAATTGGGGGATGGGAACAGCGCTGGGGAATTGGGGAAAGGGGAACAGACAAGTTGCTGTCCTTTTTTTGTTCTTCAGTCTAGTTGTGGAGGACGTCGCTTCACTGGCCCAAGTTGGCACCATCATTGCGCTCTTCCTGGGCGAGTCATATCAGTCGCCGGCTTCTGGACGGCCACTCACTGCAGCTGCTGGCCGCTCACGCTGGCTGCTGGCTACACACGGTAGCCCATGGCAACCCACTGCAGCAGGGGCTGCAGCCTACACCCTTACCGGTGACTCACGGCAGCCCAGCTCCAGGTTGAGCTGTTGTTGTTCAGCATCTTAGCTGTAGAGGGCAGTGTCACTGGCCCTCATATGTGGGATCTGAACCAGGGTCCTCTGGTGTCCCAAGCCAGCTCTTAACCAACGTGCCACTCAGCTGGCCCTTGGGGACCATTTTATTTTTTATTTATTTTTTATTTTTTTTAGCTGAGCCATCCTGCTACCTGTTGGCAGCTCAGCGGCTGCTCAGCTCGGGCTGGACTCGAACCGCTGTTGCTCAGAGCTCAAATTCTTGAGCGAGCTCTTAACCAACTGAGCCACTCAGCCGGCCCCCTTGGGGACCATTTTAAACTGTAGAATCCCCAACAAAGAGCACAGAAATGCAACAAAACTGGACACTAAATAGACTACAGAAAGGATACTTGTTTACAATATAAGCTGAAACAAAAAGGCAGAGCATCACCTTGTTAGACCTACCCTGGGAACATGAGCATCAAGCAACTCCAAATTTTCTCATTCTGTGCATGAGTGAGAAATAACCATGAAAACGCCCTGAGTATTGATTTTAGGGTTGCAAATAAATTTTAGCAAGTAGGCAAATTTGCAAATAGAGTCAGTAAATAATGAGGATCCGCTGTAACTGCTAAAAGATTAATCCAGTGTTAGAGAGGTTGTGAGAATTGCAGACTTAGTGTGATTCTTATATACACTGAAGTTGGAGACCCTCTGTTCAAATCCATTCACTCTCTTCCATCTCTGCTGTTCCCGCTCCAGTCTAAGCAGCCTTATCCATCACCTACTCCTCACCCACCTGTATCACATCCACCAGCAAGCCCTATCTCCCACATAGTCAGGGCTGGCTTCCTAGGTGTGCGATCCACGCAGTCACACAGGACTCCTTGCTTGATACAATATTCTGCTGTCATGGCTGAAGCATACTCATTTTGAACACGGAGCCCCGTGTTTCTTTTTGTATTGGTCTCATTGTGTACCAGTTATGTAGTCAGCCCTGTCCATAACAACATACCCCAAATCTGTCCACTTCTGTCCTTCTCTATTGCCTGGTCTAAGCCACTGACCTCTCTCCAGGATGACTCCTGCCTGGTCTCCCTGCTCCCACTAAGGCTTTTTCCCATCACACCTCCACACGCTGCCGCCAGAATCTTCCTTTTAGGCCACAGGAATGATGTGGCACTTAACCTCCTATTAAACGTCTCACTTTTTTCTCCAAGCCCTTACCTGGCCCAGCAATCCCGGAGTTGCCTGGTACCTACCTGCCCACTTGTTCACCCTCATGCCATCCTCCCCGTTGCTCACCACACTCCTCAGCAATTTACTTCTTGGTGGTACCTGTCACATTCAGCATTTAACAAGTATTTACATGATTGATTCTGTCTTCCCCACTTGATTGAAAACTCCCAAGAGCAGAGGCCATACTTTTGGCTCAGTAAATACATGTTGCTTGAGAATCACTGTATTACTTACTGGTCAAGGTGTGACTGTGGCAGTTGGTGCTAAGGTTCCAGGATGTGTTTCCCCTAGGCTGATGCCCCCAACCCATCCCTCATCCCTGAGAGTGATGCCGTCGGTGTGACTGTGGTCCTCATCACTTGCACCTACCATGGACAGGAGTTTATCCGTGTGGGCTATTATGTCAACAACGAGTACTCCGACCCTGAGCTGCGGGAGAACCCGCCCCTGAAGCCGGACTTCTCTCAGGTGGGGCCTCTCTGCACTTCATGCTCCTGACTGGCAGACTCTTTTGCACTTGAAGGGAGTTGAGTCATTGGAATCTGGAGCCAAGGTCACTTGAAGGTTTTCAAGTAGCACCCAGATCTTGCAGCACTGGGTTAGAACAGGAAGGAGAGGGATCTTTGTTTCTCAGAAGCACCATCTTGCAGAATCAAGATTAGGTAGCTTCTGACCCTAAATCAGGTGCACAGGTGTTCCCTGGAATCCCACACATATTGTTGGTGGTGATGGAATATGTAAGGTCTGCACTTCCTGGGGTGGGGGATTAGGAGTGCCCTGGTTCTGTGGGAGTAATGAGAGGGCATGCTGACAAGTTGATATTCCTCTTCCTGCCCCAGCTCCAACGGAACATCTTGGCCTCGAATCCTCGGGTGACTCGTTTCCACATCAACTGGGACAACAACTCAGACAGGCTGGAGGCCATAGAGAACCAGGATCCCGCCCTAGACTGCAGCCTCCCCCTCAGCTGCACCCCTGTCAAGGGCTTGGGGTTCCCTGGCTACATCCCCAGCCTTCTTCCTGAGAACTCCATGGACTGCATCTAATTTGGGGACTTCAGGCCCTACCTGGGCCCAGCCAGGACTACGGCCAGTCTCCTAACACATCTGGAAGGGGCAACTGGGCTTCCCAGAGAGTCCTGTGGGGGTCATCTGGAGGACTTTGGGGCCATTAACTACTCCAGGTCAGTCAAACTTGTCCCCGAAGAAAGAACAGGCCTCAGGTCTCCCAGCTCTGGCCCAGAAGGATCGTCTCACTTCTACTACCCAGGCTTATAAGTAGCAGGTACTTCCGTTCTTAGTTTTTTCTGACTTGTGTACTTTCTCTCTTCCATACACACTATAAATTCCACCTGCAGGCCATTGTATCACCATGCTCCGGTGAGTACCATTTACCCACAGCTCTTCCCACAGACCTCCCTGGCCTGCCTTGAGGCTTTGATGGTCAGTGGCTGGCCAGGCTCTGGCCCTATTGGGCCAAAGCCTCCATCATTCCTTTCCTTTCCCAAACATCTGAGTAGATCCACCCAGCTTTCCGGAGTCATAGGCAAAGAATCTGGGTTAGAAGGTGGACTTGGGCACAATTTCTGCCCTCCCAAAGCAATTTTTAGGTCTTTTCAATCCAACAGCCCCTCGAAAACTCTGTCCCCAAAAGTATGATCAGCAGGATGCAGAGCAACGATGGTTGACTCTCCCCTGTCACAACCACCTTCCTGTTGCCTACTAACAACCTGGATTTCCCCAGAGGCTGCCACTGTGGAGAGGTGGCATGTTGGAGGGGCCTGCTGTCCTCGGTCTGTTTCAGTGTCAGCATTAGGACCCCTCTGCTAAGACCTCATGCACTCACAGGCCACAGAGTGATCACAGGCATGGGAAGCAGAAGAAACCCTGAAAACTTTCCTTCCCCCTTCCATGCTTCCCGCGCCCCCCCCCCCCATTCCCTCACCTCCTTGCTGCTACATGGATGCTGTTGAGATTGCAATTTGTATATTAAAGGGTTTTTATATTAAATATGTTTGCTTGGTCTAAAAATAAAAAGCACTTAATATAGACTTGTTTCTGCTTGTCTCAGGTGGACTGAGGCATCTTTGTCCATCTCCTTTCCTTGGGACATGGTGGAGGGTCCTCTTGCCCCAACCAGTGGGGTTGACTGCCCCTTGTCCCCTTGCTCAGCTTCTTGCTCTAGTCTTAATTGGTTGTATAGTTGTAATCCAGACTGAGGTTTGGGAAGGGGTTTTTGTTGAAAATTATGCAACCCAGCTGCTCTGAAGATAGAGCATAACCAGTGATTTTTCAGACATTGACCTTGACCCACAGGAAGAAATTAACATTGTACTCCAAGGACACACACAGCAGCAACACTTTTATTAAATTTTACTTAACCTTACTTTGTAACCCCACAGCCAGAGGTGGAGTGGTTTGAGCCATTTACCCATAATTCACAGAAGTACCCAACTCTTCCTCCCTGAGACTATAGTTGACCTAGCATAGATAGGTGCAGAGAGCAGCTGGGTACAAGTCTAAAGGCAGAGCCGCGAATTGGCTTCTAGACCTGAGACCCCATAGCCCCTCTAAGTCAAGGGGAGCTGGCTCATCCAGTCCCCTTTCCCCCTGGGCACCTTCTGTTTGTGCTTTCCTCTGCTTCAGTGGTTCTTAACTGCTGGCAATTTTGGCGCCCCCAGGGCACATACAGCAATGTCTGGAGACGGTTTTGGTTGTCACATCTGGTGGAGGAGGTTCTACTGGCCTCCAATGGGTAGAGACTGGGGATGCTACACAAGACAACTCCCCCTCCCCCAGCAAAGAACTGTGAGAGTGTGGCAGTGGGGAACACTGCCCTCAAGCTGTGTGTGTATAAAAAGGGCACCCGTGAGGGGCATCTTGCTACTTCTCTGCCCCTGGAGAGGTTCCCTCTGTATTGCCAAGACTGGGAGTCCTCAGCTTGATAGCCCCAGATTCCTCATCTTTAAGATGGGAGCGATTAGTACCTGCGTGATACAGCCTTAGTAGGAAGTACTGTAACGAGTTCCTGCTCTTACTACTGGCACGAGCCCAGCGTGGGCGCCCAGCAAAGGGATGGACACTGACCCTCCGCTCCCAAGCGCCCCTTGCTCCCGAGGCCCAGCATCCTCTTGAAGCTCGGGCTGTGGCTGGGGGAGACCCAGGAGCCCCACCTTCACTCCGGGGCCTGCCACTACTATCCTGCGCCAGGCCTTAGGACTGACGGCGGCTGGCTGCCCGGCGACCTATGACCCGCGGCGCCGCGGCGCCCCTCCCCCGCTGGCAGGTGGACAGCGGCAGCACTGGGGGGTCCGCAGCGCCAACCTTGACTGGCCGGCGGCCGCTGCCGCACTAAGCGGGGGCGGGAGACTGCGGCGCGCACAGGGACGGGCTGCCGCCCGCCTGGACCGCCTTCTGGGCCTCGGAGCACGCCAACCTCGGCCGCCCCGCCCGGTCGACCCCGACAGCAAGCTGCGCCGCCGCCCCGCCCTCTCACCCCGGGATTGACACTGAATGTTCTGTGGGGGGCTGGCCGGAGCGCGCGCTTCGGCCAATTGGCGGCCTCGCTGAGCGATCCCCAAGCCCTTGTCGCGAGCCTCGACCAATCAGGCACCTCGCAAGTGCGCGAGTGGCCGGGCGTCCACGGCACGCGTCACGGGGCCGAGAGCCTATAGCAGCGCGGGAGGGTCGCGAAGGGCCAATGGGTGGTAGCTCGGCGCCGTCAGTCAAGGTGGCCTGGGCCAATGGGTGCGGGCTGCGGGAGCGTCACGGACAGCAGCAGCGGACTTGGGCTGAGGTTCCCGGGCGGGCGGGCGCGGAGAGACGCGGGAAGCAGGGGCCTGGCGGGGGTCGCGGCGCCGCAGCCAGCGCAGCAACCCTAGGGGCCGCCGCCGCTGCCGCCCAGCGCGCTCCGGGGCTGCCGCCAGCACCCGCCGCGCCGCAGCTCCGGGACCGGCCGCGGCCGCCGCCGCCGCGATGGGCAACGCCGCCGCCGCCAAGAAGGGCAGTGAACAGGAGAGTGGTGAGTACTTGGGCCGAGACCCGGATCCCGGCCCCGCGCTGCCAACCTCCGCCCTGTCCATCACCGCCTGGCCCCTCCCCCATGTGCCCCCCCATTTCTGTCTGCTTACCCCCAGCACGCCCTCCTTCTGCCTGTCCGAGGTTGGGGCCCAGGGCCCGCAGAGGACCCTCCGTAGGGGATACCTTGCCAAAAGCCGCCCCCCACTGCAAAGACTGTGTGTCGTCCCCCCCCAGCTGTCACTGCCAACCATGGCACGTATGACCGCTGGGGCTCCACATGGGGCCCTGTCACCACCTCAACCCCTTCTTCCTTGGACCCTCTTCCAAGACTCTGATTCCCCCTACTTCCTCACTCGCCTATCCCACTGATAGGACCCACTGCAAGACCATGACCCAAGCTTCTGCCAGTTTTGGGAGTGCTGTGGGGTCTGTCTCCACCCCACAGGGACCTTGGCCACTTGGTGACCACACCCCTCCCCCCTCCAGCCCCCGCCATCTTTTCCCTGCCCTTCCCCTCTTCACCTCACCACAGCCCCCCTCCAAACCCACTCTGTCCTCCTAAGCTTTCCCCAGAGCCACTTCCAGCATTGTTTTTACCTTCTGTGTCACTTGGCATGGGGGACAGGATCTTTCTGGGTCCCTCTACTCCTCTTATCCCGTCACTCACTGTCACTCTGCTCCTGTGCTTGTGCTTTCTCCTCTGAGCAAGCTTCTGTCCCTGGCTGGGGTAGCAGACTGTTTATGAACCTAGAGAACTGCCTCAATGCATCCAAAGCCAAGTTTGAGCCAGTCTTCCTGGGTTCATTGCGTCCTGTTTCCTGGTTTGGGGGCGGGGGGTGGCAGCAGTGACCCTTTCTATCTCCTGTGGTGCCGTGAGCTCTAGCTAGACTCCTTGGAGGGCCCCTCAATCATAAATGGTTGTTTCACAACTGAGGCTCCGTCATTCACCCAGTCCCGTGGGCTTCTTCACCCGCTCCTGGCTCAGGATGAAAAGTGGGGGATTAAGAGTGTCTAGATTTAACAAGGCTCATTCAGCTTTAGCCGGGATGGTAAGAAAGGGGACTTGAGGGATGGCAGTCGGGGGAGAGTAGTGGGTGACATCCAATGACTTGCTTTGCCAAGGGACAGATTCTCGTCATTCCCTGGGCTCAGCCAGAAAGAGGCCTGTTCCCCCCCTCAAACCCCAAATTATTTGACCTTTTCCAGCTAGCCAGAGAAAGAGATTCTGTATCTGGAAATGCCTTCAGAAATGGCCTTGAGCCCCTTCCTCAATTCCTCCAGCTCCTAAGTTGTCATCACTCCAGGCCTAAAGCTGGACCTCAGCTAGGATACCCTTCCTGTTACCCAGAAATAGAGATGAAAAAGAAGGCGATGCCAAATATGCTGTTCCCAGTTACTGGCCTCAAACCCCAACGTCTGAGTCCCCTGAATGCCCCCTCCCAGAAAAACCCAGGCATGAAATCCAGGAAACTTTCTTTCCACATGGGTTCAAATGGCAGAACTCAGAGTCACTGAGCAGCCATGGGGAGGCCTGACATGTCACCAGTGGGCGGGGGACAGGGAGGCAAGTGCCTGTAGCTGAGTGCTTGATGACAGAGGAGCAGGTGGGTAGTGACCAAAAAAGGTCTGGGCATGAGCTTGGAGGGGACTAGGCAGAGGGGGGAGGGGCTGGGCCCCCAGCAGGTGAGGCCTGGGAGGTAGAAGGTGGAGGCAGGCAACTATATATTACAGTGGCTCAGTTGAAAGTTGGAGAGATGACATAGTCCTGGAATACTTTCAAGACATGTCAAACACATGCAGTGTGTGGGGAGTGGGGGGTGGCAGGTGAAAAGCTACACAAGGAAAAGGATCCCCAAGAAAAAGATCAGAGGCTCCGGAAGTAAGCACTAAACCTCTCAGAGTGCAGGCCAGACACTCAGGAATGGACCATCACAGTGAAATAGAGCCACTATTTATTGGGCATTTAGGATGTGCCAGGCTAAATGGTCTGTCTCCATAGATCTATCTGCTCAAGTGGTTTTCATAACGGGCTGTTTTCTCAGTTTTCCAAACCACTTCTCTAAGTTTTACATAGATGATGTCACAGAGATCAGGATTCACATAGATCCACCTTCCAGCCAAGTTCCTGGACCCCAGAATTTCCCAACCCAGATATTCTCAAGCAGACATTCCTTAATTTTTACTCTATTTACTTATATTTTCTTAATTTAAAATAATAAACATTTTGACTCCTTTTCTTCAGATGTAAACTTTGCTCCGTCCTAAGCAGTAATATAAATGAAATCATGCAATTGTTGTGCCAGTTACATTCTCTTTGTTACACGTTGAAATACAATGTAACTAGAAAAGTGAAACATCTCTAAAATAATTTCATGCCCTGCAAATGGGACCTATGTCATCAGGAAACGCCCTAAGCTGTACTTCTTTTTAGAGGCTTGCAGAGACTCTCAGAGAAGCAAACAGGATATGGAAGGAAGCCCCTCTTTGCTTGGAACTCTTAATTCTGAAAGGATGGAGTTAGACTAAATTTGCCCTCTTGTAACTATAACCAGGGCTGGGGTGGGGGAGCTAGGGGGGCAATAGCCAGGCCAGCCTGCAGGGGGCACCTGAATTTCATCTGCCAGATGCCAGCCCTACTAGGGTAAAGAGAATGTCCAAGCCTTAGTAGGCAGTAGTTAGGCATCCTCCAGCCCCCTGTGCCACGGTCTAGGCAGGATAATGCCAGCCTCCTCCCAAGAGAGCAGGGATCTATCTAGAACAAGCCCTGGGGTGGGTGGGAGAAATCTGTACCCAAAGATTCCAAAGCCTTGGCAGGGGCCCTGGTAAGATGCTAAGAGGGAAGAGAAAAAAAGACCTAGCACTGGACTCTGAGAAGCTGGAGAAATTGAGAGAGGGCAGTGGCCCCAAGAGGCCCCTGGGATAGGCCGCCAAGTGGGGCTCAGGCCTTAGCTAGCTACCACTGGCCAAAGGCACCCCTGGGAGCTGGCCCACGGAAAAGGGCGCAGGGCTGGTGAGAGGGAGCACCAGACACTCCCCCCACCAGGCCACAGGAACAAGGAGATCCAGGTTCTGAGAGAGAAGTGCCCCCAAGAGGTCCCTGGATGGGAAGAATTGTCACCTTCTAACATCCTACAAAAGTCAGACACCTTCTGTGCAGTGGCAGTTGTATGGGTGCCCAAGAGGGTCTTGCCAAGGCAGCTTTCTTCCTTAGCCCAGTCGGACCTGCGGAAGCTTGAGGGTCCTATCTGCCCCTCCCCTGTACCAGCTGGCCCCCAGGTTGGGTTTCTCTTCTTGCCATCACCCCCACAGCTCCCTGGCTCCCCCTATAGGCAGGCCTCTGGGGATGGGCAGCCAAGCTGGTGAGGCAGGTCTCATGAGCCTTCCCAGCCACCGTAGTCCTGGTGCCTTGAGAGGAAGACTGAGTGATGGCTTCCAGCCCCAAAGACGGTGAGGCTGAGCCCTGTTGCTATAGCAACCCCTCAAGCACACTCTGCTCTTCTAGCCAGGGAGGGGCTGTAGTAGGATTTGGGGAGGAAGTGAAGAAAAGGCTGTGAACTTCTGAGTGGCCCTGGCAACCCCTTATAACTCTGGGCTGGGAGCCTGGGGAAGAGCAGTGGGGATGGGGGGCCCAGTTCAGACAAGGGGGTATGGTCCATCCAGAGTGGGGGTCCAGCTCAGAGCAGGGCAGTGGCGTGGTCCATCCTAGTGTTGGGGTTCAGCTGAGATTGGGTGTTGGTCCACCTCAGTGATGGAGTCTGGGTCAGAATGGGGATGTCCATATGGAGTCCAGGTTAGATGGTCCAGTACAGAATGGGGAGCCATCAAACTGGGGAGTGGTCCAGCCCGGTTTGGGATCCAGCTCAAACTGGAGGGCGTTGCAGCCCAGAGCAGGGGATCCATGCTAGACTGGAGGAGTCATCCAGCCAGGAGTAGGGGTTTTAGCCCAGGCTGGGCATCTCTGCCCCAGAATTCCTGGGACTACCAGGTTTCAGAGGGCAGAGGGTACTGAAATTGTTGTCTGTCGGGGGACGGGGCGGGGGGGGGGGGGGTCCTGAGTCTGCACTCCTGCTTCTTGCTGTGGCCCTGGTTTTTCAAAGGGTGTGTTGGGTTCTCTCTGTGAGCGAGCCCAAATTCAATCTGGACCAGGGTGGAGGCTGGGTTACCTACCCCCCTGGGGAAGACATGGGAAGGTGGCAGGTTTCACACGCCCACAGCAGGCTGGATTTCCCTTCTCGGCCACTTCCTGTTGTCAGAAGGGCACCCTGGGAAAAGCTGCCACTGACCCTCCACTTCTTTTGGGATTTGGAAAGAAGGAGGAAGATGCTCAAGGCAGCCTCCCCCTCCCCCATCCCTGGGTTTAGCCTTTGCTTTCCGGTTTGGACCGTCATGGCTAAGAGAAGAGCCAAGCACAGGGCAAGGTTTGACAGAGGCCAAGGACATCCTAGGATGCCATTCCCCTCCCCATTCCCCTGCTTAGGAGCAAGAGAAAGCCAAATGTACCCATTTCTCTCTTCAGGTAGCAGGATTTGGGGGCTCCAGGTTCAAAAAGGACTCAGGGGAGGAGAGAGGGGGGCTCTCAAATCCCCCATCCCACCTTTCTCTCCAGCTGCTCTTTCTGCTAATTAATGAAGCTCTGGGGCCTCTTTAGACCCCAGGGAGCCCCTGGCTGCTGCCTGGGCCTAAGCCTTAACTCCTTCTCCTCTGCCCAGCGGGCACTGCTCTGGGCACATTGAGTACCATCCTCTGGGTAGTCTATCACCCACTGGGGAAGGCAGGCAGGGCCTGGCATCCTGGGAGCAGTGAAGTCCCTAGAATGGGAAATTAGCTTTAGCAACCTGCCCCCAGGGTAGTCAGGTCAGCCAGGAGGGACAGCCTCTGGAGAATCTTTTCACCGCCTTCTGCCAAGGAGGGCCTTTGCAAACCTTGGCCAGCCACTAGCAGGTACCTTTAAATGCTTCCCTGGCAACCAGCTCCTCCTCCTGGGTCCCCCGAGGCCCTCCCTCCCAAGGAAGCCAGCTCAGAGGCTCTGTATATTCCTGGTTCCCCTGCAAAGGGAAGATTTCCAAGGAGAGCCCAGGGTAGCTTGGGATGGATCTGGGGTCAGGTAGTGGCCAGGGTGGGGACTCAGAGACCGCCTTCCAGCTGTGGCTGCAGCTGTTCCTCTGGGCCCACCTGACTGTCCGTTTCCTGGGCTACCTGCGCTACGTCCTCTGGGCACCTAAGCCACAGCCAACACCCTGAGCCTCCCTGGCCTGGGGCGGATGGACCCTAGATCACCCCATCCCACTCCATCCCCCATTGCACCCTCTGCTGGAAGAGGCACAAAGCAGAGGTGAGTATGGGGGCTCCTGGCTGGGAGTCCCCCATCATTATCCTTCTTTATCTGCCTTCTCTTCCTGGTACTGCCCCTCTCCCATCCCCATCCCCAAACCTGGCAAGCCAATGCCACCAGAGGAGACACAGCCTGAGCCCTTCTGTACTTTGAGAGGTGAGAGAGAGTAGGGCTGTGCTAGGACCTAGGCACCCTGTGGAGCCTCTCAGTGAGGTACCAGCAGACAGCCAGAGGTGAAGGCTCACTGAGTGGGGAAAAGCAGGACATGGCAGTTCTCAGGGAGGGCCAAAAGGGAAGCCGGACCAGTCATTCTGGATTTCCTCGCAAGCCCGTTCCTTCCTGCCTCCCTGGGTGGGGGCAGGTACAGTCCCAACAGGGTACCCTCTCCCCCACCTTCATCCAGAATTCAGTGTGTACATTTGAAGGTGTCCAAGGAAGGTGGTGTGTGTCAAAAAATATTCTGCTAGTGAAAGCATTGGATGTGGCGCTGTTCCTAGACTCAGAGAGTCTGTCAGTTAGAGGCCCAGCCAGATGCCATCCTAGGACTTCTGGTCATTCCTTGACTGCCTGACCTCTCTCTGCTTGCTCACTCTTTGTAGGGCTTTCCTGACCAACGCTCCTCCATCTGCCATTCTTGTAGCCCCACGGAAGGTTCTTCTGTCTGAACGCTGAAGGGAGAGCCTTGGGGACAGTGGGGGAGTCGTGGCTACCCAAAGGCTGTGTGGGACTCCTGGTACTGCATATGGATGAGACAGGCAGATGACAGGCAAGGCCAAAGTACAAGTGTGCAGGACCTCTTTGGGCCATCAGGGGGTCCAGGAAAGGCCACCCTAGTGCACTGCGACCCATCAAGAGCGAAGCAGTTAATCTCATGAGCAGTGGGATCTGGAAGGCAACCTCAGACCTAGTCAATCTTCTCTTCTGTACAATGAGAGTAATAGCAGCTCTGAGCCATCAGGGTAGGAGTTAAGTATAGAAAGCATTCACGGCCGGCCAAGTGGCTCAGTTGTTTAAGAGCTCGCTCAAGAGTGCGAGCTCTGAGCAACAGCGGTTCAAGTCTTATCCCGAGCTGAGCTGCTGCTGAGCTGCCAACAGGTGGCAGGATGGTTCAGCTAAAAAAAAAAAAAAAGGAAGAAAGCATTCAGCACAGGGCTGGCACACAGGCAGGGTCCCTAAACAACAGTGTTCCTGGTCCTGGGGGACAGTCACAAGGACAGGTCTGTAATGTACAAATCCATCAGGCCACATATTTAAGATCTGAGCACTCAACACACCCCCTGCATTTCATACCTCAACTTTTAAAAACACTTAAAAGCAAAATTAATAGCTGACAGTTATATGGCACAAACCTTATGCAGTCCACTGTCCAACCAACCCCCTTTGCCAAGATTAGCTCGTTCAGTCCTTAACAACCACCCTGCCAGGTCATTACGATTATTATCCCCATTTTACAGATGAGGAAAACTGAGGCCCAGAGAAGTGAGGTCAGTTGCCTAAGGTTATATAGCTCATCAGGGACTAGGCTGGGGTCTGAGCTCGATCTCAGTCCCAGGGTCCTGGTGCTTAACTGCTTTTCTGGGCACTGGCAAGAATGACTTTTCAAGCCTCAGTTTTCCTAGAGTGTTAAATGGGGAGAATGGATAAAAGGGAAGTTGGCAAGAGAACCGAATGAGATAGTGGAGATGAAGCAGCAGGCCCAGGGTCTGCCTACTGGGAAGTCTTCAGTATTAGCCAGATAGTGATATTCTCTTTGGGGTGCTGAGGAGCCCCTGGGGGGCGGGCATCAGGTGAGACCTCCCTTGAACCAGCTCTGGAGCCAGGGCCCCTCGATTGGCAAAGACAGGAGCAGGGCCAGCTGGGGGCCAAGGCAACAGCTGAGCCCCCCAAGGGCGCCTGCTACCCGAGCCCCAGAGGCCTCCACCCTGGCCCAGCCTCCCCAGAGAAGGGGCCTGAGGAACAGCCAAATCCTGAGGCTATAAATACCTCGGCTGGCGTCGTCCCTGGCCGTGGAATGTCGGTCAGAACTGGGGCGAGTGGGGGTGGGCTGGCCTGGGTGCCGCCCTCTCTCCCCCTGAGAGTGATCTCCGAGTCACCCTGCACCCCATTTGGGATGGAGCTGAGGCTGGATCCCACCTCTATAGTAAAGGGGGCCCAGGCCCCAGCCAAGATTAGGGCCCACCAAACTGCCCTCAGATTTCAGCCAGGGCACCCAAAGGCCCTGGGGAAAAAAAGGTCAGTCTCTGGGTTGAGACATCTATCTATACCTCACTTTCCACAAAAGGGCGTCTCCCCAGTAATACCCTGGGCCTCTCCCAATGAGATGGGGTCTCCATCTAACTCTCTCCTCTCTTCCTTACAGTGAAAGAGTTCTTAGCAAAAGCCAAAGAAGATTTTCTTAAAAAATGGGAAAATCCTGCTCAGGTAAGCCCCCGGGTGCAGGGCCCTGGGAGAGGTGAGCTGACAGCCCCCATTCCCCAGCTGCATCCCTGTGAAATGGCTAGGATTTTAGGGCCATATGGAGAGTGCCTAGACACCCATGGAGGCTCCTGGGCAGAGGTACCTGATCACCCACTGTCAGGCTCCCCCACCCTACCACCCCCTTCCAACTGGCAGCCCCTGCCCCCCACACAGCTGCCAGCAGCTCCTGGGCCCCAGGCCAGGGCCAGATCTGGCCCCTGCCACCCGCCTCATGGAATGTGCCCTCCACCATCTTGTTTTTCCGCCCCCCGTCCTCACCCAGTCACTCCCCCTGCTCCCCAGGGCCCCCTCTGCTGGTGGCAGAGGGGATGCCCCAAGCCTTGTCATCCCAGCAGGCCACAGAGAGAGGGGTCCCTACCCATCCCAACCCTTCCACCCACAGAATACAGCCCATTTGGATCAGTTTGAACGAATCAAGACCCTTGGCACGGGCTCCTTCGGGCGGGTGATGCTGGTGAAACACAAGGAGACAGCGAACCACTTCGCCATGAAGATCCTGGACAAACAGAAGGTGAGCCCCGCTCTGCCCTGCGGCCCAGTCCCACCTGCTGCCTGGAACGCTCTTCCCATCCATCCACTCACCAACTGCTTCCTGAGCCCCTATCACGTGCCCGACCCGAGGGCCAGAAGGGTACCACACTGCCTTCATGAGGTTCCCCTCCAGGCCGGCCACTGAGGGGAATCCAGGCACTGGGCACAGGGTCAGATACCTAGCCAGAGGTCTTCCTAAAGGAGGCGGCTTTTACATGTGCCTGCTTTCTGTAAATATTTTTGACATCCTACTTGTGCCAGGCACTGCTCTAGAGCAATGCTGTCCAATAGAAATGTCACACAAGCTACATATGATTTTAAATTTTCTAGGTTTTTAAAAAAAGAAACAGGTGGAATACATTTTAACAATATGTTGTAATTAAACCAGTATATCTACAATATTATGTCAATGTATGTAACCAATGTAAAATATCATTAATGAGACATTGTACATTCTTCTATACCAAGTCTTCGAAATTCAATTTGCACTTTACATTTACAACGCATCTCTGTTCCAATGTTAAATTTTCATTGGAAAGACAAGAAAAAGTAGAGAAGTTGAAAAGCAGATTCATATAGGCCAAGTTGTTCCAGACAGGCGTAAAAGTTACCCAGTAACTGCACTGTCAGGTTTTTTTTTTCTTTTAAGAAATTTTATCGGGGAACGGTGTGTTTTTCCAGAACCCATCAGCTCCAGTCAAGTAGTTGTTTCAATCTATCAATGGTTGTGGAGGGCACAACTCAGCTCCAAGTCCTGTCGCTGTTTTCACTCTAGTTGCGGGGCGGGGCATAGCCCACCATCCCATGTGGGTATCGAACTAGCAACCTTGTTGTTAAGAGCATGCGCTCTAACCAACTGAGCCACCCAGACGCCCCACTGAGTGTCAGTTTTTAAATTTTCACTTTAGATACTTAAAACTTTAAACTTGGTTCCCCAGTCGACCAGCCAGGTTTCAAGTGCTCAGCAGCCATAGGTAGCTAGTGTGGATGGTACTGGGCAGTGCAGGTATAGTCCCAAAGGGTACAGGTGTGAACAAAGTGGAAAAGGCCCCAGTGCAGAGGCTCAGAGCTGACTGAGGGGCCAGGCTGCCTGCCTGTGACTGGCTGCCTGCCTGTGACTAGCTGCCTGTGACCTTGGGCAAGTCACTTCCCTTATCTGGGCTTCTAGACTGGCATGCTCACAGTACATACCACTCAGCGCTCCCATCACTATATGTGAGGTTCCTGCTAGGGACAGCTGAGGGCTGAAGAAGAATTAGCCCAGCGTTCAGGAGGGCGTGTTGGGGTGCTCTAGATGCAGAGAAGGTATTTGTAAGCCCCACACTCCTTGGGCACTATTCCTGCTTGTCTTTCCATTTTTAGCTCTACTACCCCTTCCTCAAGGAAGCCTTCTCTGACTACCCCTGCCCCCAGACTTTGCCGGGCATTTCACCAAGGGGCACAGGCATCCGCAGGCCCTGAGCTTCTACCAAGGCTCTGACGCCTGTGTTCTTGCCCTGAACTTCATACACGGGGACAGGCAGCCTCAGCCTTCTGTTGTGTCCTCAGCACTCAGCCCAGGGCTCCACAGGCCACAAACACAGGAACCAGCCCAGCCTGGCACCCCTACTTCTGGGCATCAGGGGAGGGGGCCCTCTCACACTCCCATCTTCTCCACCCCACTCTGGGCCCACAGGTGGTGAAGCTGAAACAGATCGAACATACCCTGAATGAGAAGCGTATCCTGCAGGCGGTCAACTTTCCGTTTCTCGTCAGACTCGAGTTCTCCTTCAAGGTGGGGGAAAAGGGGGGGCAAACAGGGAAACCACACCTGGGGGCTGAGGACAACCAGCGGCTGCCCTAGAAGGCAGGCCTACCCACTGATGGTGGGGGGCGGCGAATCAGCCTGGGCTCTGATACACCAAAATTCAACTCCCGGATCTAACTAGATAACCTTGGGTGGGTGAGTCACTCAACCTGGACAACATCCCTCAAAAATCACTGCCCCATTTATAAGAATCTGACACAGCCTGGGCTCAAGTCCCAGCTCAGCACCACCTGCCCTTGTGGGCAAAGACTTCATTGCCTTGAGACTCAGTTTCCTCATCTGCAAAATGGGGATCATAATAGTCCCCACCTGGTGGGGTTGCCATGACAGTTCCAAGCACATTGTGAGTGCCCTATGTGAGCTATTTTTGGTGCTGTCCTAAGCCGGGACTTTGGAAAAGCCACTCAGGGCCTGCCACCCAGGCAGTGACCAGAGCCCATGCTTGGTGTCATGCTCTACTGCTGCTGTCTTGAAATTCATAATCATTTTTTCAGCAAGGAGCCTCACATTTTTATTTTGGGGGCCCCCCACAAATTCTGTAGCCTATCCTCGTCCCATTTTACAGATGAGAAAACTGGCCCAAGAGTCTTGCTCAGGACAGTCACAGACATGAGCTGCTGTGGAGTCCCCTCTCCAGCCCAGGCACCTCTAACTAGCCCTCCCTTTCACTCTCCCTCCCCCCCGCCTCATAAGCAGGATAATGGCTGTCCCTTCTTCCTCATGAGCAGAAGAAAATGAAACAGGTAGCTCAGTGAGCACTGCACCTGGTCCTTGGAACATGCTTCATAGGGGACCCTAGATTGGTGGTGTCACCTTATTTCTGAACACCTGCTGGGTGAGGGCACCAGGGCTTCAGATGGGGCCCAGAGCTTGGGGAGCAGAGCCCTGATCAGCTGCTGCTCCCCACAGGACAACTCGAATTTATACATGGTCATGGAGTACGTGCCTGGTGGGGAGATGTTCTCACATCTGCGGCGGATCGGAAGGTTCAGGTGAGTGGACCACCCCCAGCCACACCAGGCCTGGGGCTGTCCACAGGTAGTGTTACACAACCCAGCCATCTGGGGAAATGGAGTTGGCCTTTCCAGGTCCCTGTGGGCTCTCATTCCCCAAGCTGAGGAATCTGGGATGTCTCAACCACCACAAAACAACAAACACGGTGACTTAGGTTTCACCATTTAAGTTGGCGGTTTTATGCAGGTTTTAAATTGATGCTGTTGTTTTGTTTATTCACATAGCTATGCACTTTACATGCAGTAAAATGCACAGGTCTTCATTGTTCCATGAGTTTTGACAGTTGCATGATGCATTTGCATAACCGCCACCCAAAACACCATATTGAGCATTTCATCCCCCCAGGAAATTTCCTCGAATGCCCTTCTTGTCAGATCACCGCCCCAACAAAGGCAATTGTCCCTTCTGGCTTCAAACACCATAGAATGTGTTTGGTCTGGGTTTGGGCTTGATATAAATGGCGTCACACAGCTCATATTCTTTTGTTCCTTTCTTCTTTGGCTTCACATAATCATTTTGAGAGGGAGCCACAGTTGTGAGCATATTCATCGTTTGTCCTGGTGGCTGTATTGGGTAGGATTCCATTATGTGAATCGGTCACAATCTGTGACACCATTCCTCTGTTGATGGACATTTGGGCTCTTTCCGGTTTGGAGCTCTATATGAATAAGGCTGCTCCTCTTATGCATTTTGGCTAGCTGGGCTAGAGGCAGCTCTGTAGGCCCACTTCCTGGACCATTTGTGGGTGGGTGGGTGGGTCCTGCTGGGTGTGGCCACCCACTCACCTGTCCCCTCTCCACTTGTCCCACCAGCGAGCCCCATGCCCGCTTCTATGCTGCCCAGATCGTCCTGACCTTTGAATACCTGCACTCCCTCGATCTCATCTACCGGGACCTGAAGCCGGAGAACCTTCTCATTGACCAGCAGGGCTACATTCAGGTGCCCACCGGCCGGGTGAGGGGCAGCCCCAGGTGGCCATGTCCTGGACCCTCCCTCCCTCTCTGCCAACCCTGCTCTTGTGCCCTCAGGTGACAGACTTTGGTTTCGCCAAGCGTGTGAAAGGCCGCACCTGGACCTTGTGTGGGACCCCTGAGTACCTGGCCCCTGAGATCATCCTGAGCAAAGTAGGCACCTCCTCATCCCTCCCACTGCCCCCGAGACCCTCCCCACCCACACCTTCTCCTCACCCTCTCCCCTCACACTTCGCCCCTTTCTCGCTCTAGGGCTACAACAAGGCTGTGGACTGGTGGGCCCTGGGGGTTCTCATCTATGAGATGGCCGCCGGCTACCCACCCTTCTTCGCTGACCAGCCCATCCAAATCTACGAGAAGATTGTCTCTGGGAAGGTGAGGCCCGGATGCATGGGCTCTGCCCAGGACAAACCCACCCCTTCCACTTTCATTGGCAGAACAATCTAGACGTTCATTAAGTCAGGCCAGGCAGTGAAGCTGGGTGCGTCAGCCACACTAACCAAGCCCAGCACCTCACACAACCTCACTGGCTAATCCTGGACCCACAGTGCTGGCCTCCCAAAATCTTCTAAAACCCCAAGTCTCGCTCAGACTCCCGCCCTGCCCAACGTGAGGCTTTTCTTGCACTAGTTGTCCCCTTTAGCGTGAGTTTTCGCAAGTTTCACAGCAGAAAAGCGAATGTGTTCAATTCCCAGGCCCCACCAGGAGTCATTTGCGGTGTATGGTTCACACCCCCTTACCCAAACATAAACTTCCTAACTCAGAGTGTGCAGGTGGGTGATGGGTGGTTAGAGCTTGCATCCACAAAGTGCATTCAGTATCCACTGCCCCTCTGCACCCCTTCCATCCTACCCAGCACTCTGAGGGACTAAAGAAGCTGAGGCACAGAGAGGGGACATGTCTGGTCCAAGATCCAGGGGTCCAAGAGAGGCTGGGAACCCCACTTCTATTCTCAGTTCACCCATCTTGCTGGGAGGACCCAACCATCCCTGCACCTGGCCCAGGAAATGGTGGGAGCAGCTCCCAACTCAGCCTGGGTGGGCCAACCTGACTCCAGGTCCCAGTTATGCCACCCATTGGCGTTGAAACATTGGGCAAGTGCCTTCCCCCCCGAGCCTCATCGTAACCCACCTGAGAACCAGGGAACCAGCCACCTGCCTCTCAGGGAGGTTGAGAGGAATCACCAACTGCAAAGTGGGGTCACGAAAAAGGGAAAGATATGGTGTCTGCCAGTAAGCAGAATAGAAATTTCCAAGAGAATGCCCCAGAATGGGAAACAAAGAAAAAGCTATAGAAGGTTCCGATGGGGATAAGAAGAGCATAACTCCCTTCTTTGTAGCATTTCACAGTTCCCACGCACCCTCAGCGGTATTATCTTCTTGTGCAACCCTGGGATATCTGCCCTGTGCTGGAGAGGCAGGCACAGGCCCAGAGAGGTTAAAGGCTGTGGCCAAGGTCACACAGTGTGTAAGAGGCAGAGCAGTGGTGGAAGTCAGTTCTCATAGCTGTAAAGCCAGTGACTAGTTGTATACAAGGCTGTGGGCTTAGAGCATTTGGGGAAAGTTTCTGAAAGATTTGAACTGAGCCTTAAAGAAGGGAAGAGCTCTAGCTATGCAGAGAGAGAAATAGAAAAAAAAATCATTCCTCTCATAAGCATGAATATTTCTGAAGTCCCCAGACCCCAGCAGAGCCACCTCAGGAAGCATTGGCTAAAAATGCCAAGTTCTGGAGTCCAACAGACCCAAGATGGAGCCACTCTGTCCCACTCCTCTGTGTGACCTTGGGCAATCTGTTTAGCCCTTCCGAGCCTCAGTTTCCTCTTCTCTAAAATCGGAACCATCAGAGCACTTATATTGGAGCAGTGGTTCTCAAAGTGGTCCCTTCTGCAGCACCATCAGCATGGCAGGGAACTGGCTAGAAATGCAGATTCTCAAGCCCCAACCCAGACATTCTGAATCAGAAACTCCAACAGGCCCGATGTGCTGTTTTGAGATTCCAATGCACACCCAAGTTTGAGGTCCTCTGTCCCATAGGATTATTGGATGACGAAGGCAGTGTTCTGGTCCCCAGTTTCCAAGCCAGCTTCTCACCCTGTCTGTGTCACTCCACCCATCCCCAGGTACGGTTCCCATCCCACTTCAGCTCTGACCTAAAGGATTTACTGCGCAACCTACTGCAGGTGGACCTCACCAAGCGCTTTGGAAACCTCAAGAATGGGGTCAATGACATCAAGAACCACAAGTGGTTTGCCACAACTGACTGGATCGCTATCTACCAGAGGAAGGTGGGTGCCCCCCATTCCCAATTTGCAGAGGGTTTTGGGGGCAGGCCAAGAGCCAGAAAGGGCTTCTAGTGGAGAGAGAGAAAGGGAAGAAAAATTTGAAAATAGGCCACGGGCTCTGGGTCAGTCTAGCTGGGGCAAGCTTAGAGCAATGGAGGTCTAGAAATAGGATTATGGGGTCACTTGGCCCCTCTGTGACCTTGGGCCGGAGAAAACCCACTCTGGAAGGTCATTTCCCCATTGATGAGTTGGCTATAATAAGATTCTTGGGTTGTTATGGTGAGTCTACATCCTAATTCAAAGTTCAGGTCTGGGTCCTAGTATGTTATCTCATGAATATTAGGCCATTTACATTTATTGTTGTAATGAGGATTATGTTGACTGCTTGACTGCTGAGGTATGGGTGGTTCTTGACCCCTCTCCAGGTGGAAGCTCCCTTCATACCAAAGTTTAAAGGCCCTGGGGACACAAGTAACTTTGACGACTATGAGGAAGAAGAAATCCGAGTCTCCATCAATGAGAAGTGTGGCAAGGAGTTTTCTGAGTTTTAGGGGTGTGCCTGTGCCCCCAAGGGTTTTCTTTTTTTTTTTTTT